ACACCCTGAACATGAATAGTTTAGCCAAATGATAAACGGTCTAATTAATGTCGAGTTGGAATATGAAATTGTGAAATGTGCTGGTTCAATTGCGATTAGCCCAGCACTCATTTGCAACACAGTACACAAATGGTGTAGCGTTGCGTCAAATGGCTCGGCGTAGTGTCGAATGGTACAGTGTACACGCATACGGTGTAGCGTTGCGTGAAACGGCTTAGCGCAATGTCGGATAGCATAGCGCCCATACAGACATTGCCTTAGATTCCATCCACCAAAACCACCTCGGTCGAGAGGGACTGAGATGGAATGGTGGACACCTCATGACATGTTATACCACAAGAAAATTATGACGCTACGGAAACATGCCGATCTATCCTGATGACCTGAGTGTGTCATTTGTTTGGGAAATTGCGTCAAAACTTTTTACCTAAGAAATGGTAAGCATTATTTTCTTGTTCGATTGTAGTATTATAAAACATTTCGCGCAAGTTTTGCAGATATTTCATATATTTAAAAGGTGCTAGGGTATTAGGTAGTTTTGGTGGATGTCAGGAGTGGACATCCACCAAAACACTGACCAAATCCATCAACAACATTTCCTTTTATTTTATCTATAGTCACTGTTGGATCGTCAGGGAGGCAAAAGCTATATATTCCCTAAAGCATTAGCAGTTAGCGCTCTGGCTAATTATTTTTTATAATGCACGATTGCTGACCGACCAAACGTTCATAATGAAATCATAACTCATAACATATAAAATAAAGTGGTTTTGGAGGATGTTTCTCTCCATCCACCAAGATCACAATGGCAATTTCTGCGACTTCCGTCACAGAAGACTGGTTTGACCTGCTTTTTGGAGTACATAACCACAATCTATTTCTTTGTACAGAGATAAATTTTTGCAAAGTTCTCAAGTCAGCGCCTTTTATTATTGAAACCATAGTCATGACATGGTGCATTATATAGAATGCAAAAGGTTCTGGTGTAGCAACTATGTACTTTTGAAAAAGGATAAGAGAGAGTTTTTAACTCACGTAACAGACATTTCAACAAAATTCCAGATCCAGAAATTTCTTCCACTATTTCCTCTTAAGTCATTACCTTTAAGTACTACAAATCAGCACGTCAGTAATTGTTATTAGGGATCTGAAAATCTTACAAATCTTTCACATTTACTACAAGTAACCTTTAATTTCACATGGATGAATAAGTATACACTCAAGCTGTAGAATGGCTTACATTTTACAAAATACTTCCCCTTTTATGGAAAGACAGTGAAAGGCCTTTGCCACATTGGTGAATCAAACCATTGTATACCATGTAGTTTGGTTTCTTGCTCATGCCAGGCTCTTAATATTCAAAAGCATTCTTTATCATTTTTGTGTTCTTTTGAGTAATATAACTTAAAAAATAAACACAGAGAAAGGAAACCACTAAGAATTAAACTTGAAGCCATAGCAAAGTTTAATTTGAGCCATAGCTGATCCAAATACTGAGCACTTTAGATTGTAACCCATTTAGCAGTAAAGTTCATCTATATGTCTGCCAGCTTGTCACAACTCTTACCCTCTCCTCTAAAGTCTCTATAAACAAATTTTTCTTTGTGGTCCCTAATTGATGATAAGTATATTACAGCTCCTCAATTTCCCTCTCTCAAGATAAGGTAACTCTAAATAAGACAAAGTAACGGACTTGATAAAACTCAAACTTAGGTAACTCTAAATTAAACAAAGTAATGGTCTTGATAAAACTCAAACTATAACTCAGCTAGCTGGTACTCGAAACCTTAATTTGTTTGTTTAGAGTTGATAGTTCGGGTCAGCAGATGATTAGGAATTTTTCTTTGAGGCAGAGATTACATCTTTTACTTGAGCTGTTGTACGGCGAGTGTGATGAGAGAATGCACCAGGAAATAAAGTGCTCGATGTTGCTGAGCTTCGCATGCCAGAGTTGGTTCGGAAGCTGAGGGTCGCTGGTTCGATACCTCTAGGTGAAGTGATAGTTTTTTCATTGTACTTCGAAAGTTTTTTCCCTCTTTTTTCCTCTTCTTCTACCAAATGTTATAATGTGCAAGGACTCTAATTTGAGGCGATGGCGCAATTTCGCATAGTAAGCTTCAAATCGCGTCAGATGGCGGCCATAGGTCGCATGATTAGTCAAATAGTCGCAAGATATAGAAAGATATATGTCTAATTATGTGAAAAATTGTTAGAATTTTGTGTATTGTTAACATTCCGATTAAAAAATAGCCACTTTTATGATCAATGTGGCGTTTACAAAGTCGTCTTCGAACTGTCCAGTTTACGGCCAATTTACGTTTTCAACTCAGTTGTTAACATTAAATTACCTGTTATTCGATTTACCGTTTATTACCGCTAAGCTCATCTCCTCCCAGGGGACTGTTTTTTTTGTCATGGCCGAATGACATCGACAAGAAAATAAACATTGGACAGTCGTCGTGGTTGAAATGCTTAAATTGGTTAAATCTGATTCAATCAAACTGAGGCATCTGCTGAATTAAACGTGGTAATCTAGAAGCGAGTTATTCGCGAATTACAGCGATACGAAGAATTGTGTAGGAGGAAAAAAAGCCACAACAGAGCGGACTGGCTAGAGAAGACATCCGCCTGAGCAATGCAAAATACTAAAGAAGGAAAACGGAAAAAGTTTTGTTTTTCGCTTGCAATTCCAATTATTTTTTTTGTAAAAGCTCCATCCGAGCTTTCTCGACTATTGTAGCTAATGGCTGATAATAGCTTCAGTTTCTAGGATTTTACAAACAGCAAAAGGTGTTCACGACGACATTTTCCTTTGCGCCGACGACACACTTTGAATTTGACCTCTGCATTCTCAAATAAATGAAATAAATATTTCAAGTATTTTCTCCTGTAGTTGATAAGAAATAATGAACTGATCGGCACAGGAAAACTGCGACTGAAAAAATTGGCCAAAAAAACCCGAAAACGTTCAGTCTTCGACAGGTTTCGACCCTGTGCTTCCAAGTGCCATTGTCAAACGAGCTTCGTAACCACATGTCGTGATCGAGGCAAATTTTTGTTATTTGCCTGATACTCGATGAGGAATATGATCACAAATACAATAAGATAAATCATCATTCACCATTATCCTGTTCCAAAAAAGAAAGACTATTCAAGAATATAGTGACTAGGGGCCGGGTTGCTCCGGAGCGAATTCAAGGGTGTCCGGAAAGCTAAGATCTAAGACCTAAGACCCGGAAAACTAAGACCCAGAAAACTAAGACTGGTTTTTTTTTAGAGGAAATCATCAAATTTCAGCTTCTTTACCTGGATTAAAGTTTTCCGCATTACTTCAAGTTGTAAAGTGAATTACACATCTTAATATACGTGTCTCCTTGCTTTTACTTTCTTCTGAGCCGACATTCTCAGGCTGTTTTCACGGAAACTAAAAACTAGTAAACGATAGACCGTGTTGGCGGGTAAACTGGAGCGAGCATAGCCCTTTTCGTTTCTCTTAGGGCTCTGAGGCTAGATTCTAGATTCCAGTCTTCATGTATGCAGTGATAAATGTTTCAAAAGAATGTATGAGAGAGTTGTTGCGTTTTTTACTTCCGTTCAAGAATTCTTTCTCGTAAACAGCCAATTAAAAAATTCCAATTAATTAAAAGATCCCATGACCCCAGACCCCTTCATTTCTCACGCCAAGTTTTCGCCGTCTAAGAGTAGCAATAAAGGCTGTGGGGACAAAAATGGCTTCAGGGCAAAGTTAGTCCCGACAGACCGCTGGAAACAATGGCGCTGCGTCAGCATTGAAGTGAAACACTAAATTGCTTCATAAATGAATTAAAAATTCATAATTGCTTCAAAATTCAACTTCTGTATGAGCGCTAACGGTTTAAAGCGGTGTTTGTTTGATGAATTTACGTTGTCTTGACCAGCATACACTGATTAAAGAGAATATTCTCCGATTTGAAACACAAAGATTCGAGCTACAAATCAAGGAATCAGAAACAAAAATGCAACTTTATTCTTAGTAAAATATTAACATTAAGTAAGAATCTCTTTCATTAAGACGCTCTCTGTTAACTCCTTTAGAGAGAATGCTCTTCTGCAAACTGGGTGATCCAAGGTTTTCTTTGGTAACACATCTATTTACAGTGCTCGAAATTAAAAAAATCCAGGTTGTCTCTATTTCAAAAGCCGGGCAACCAAACCCGTGAATTTGGTTGCCCTGATGAATCCTTGGTTGCCCGTTAGAAAAGCCTACACATTTAAGTGCACTACTCAAAAAAACATCCATTTTTGTCTTCTTGGTGCTCTTAATTATATGTTAAATTTGCCTTTACTTTCTGCTGCACAAAATAAGCG